CAGTGACTTAGTGAGATCCTGTTTCAAAATAAAAAATGAATAAAGGGCTGAGTTCATTGTGAAGGCCCTGGGTTCAATTCCCAGTACCTTAAAAAAAAAAGTCTGTATGTGTATCTATATCTATATATAAATACTTAAGTACGTAAAGTTATAGCTGGGCATGGTGGCACATGCCTGTGACTCCAGCACTCAGGGAGACTGAGGCAAAAGGGTTACAAGTCAACTTGGAGAGCCTATCTCCAAACCAAAAATTCAAAAAAGGGCTGGGGATGTAGCTCAGTGGGAAGATCTTGTGTTCAATCCCAGTACCATAAAAAGTGGTTCACGATACACTAAGCATTAGATAAATGAGGTTCGTGCCATCGTAACAGTGTATGTTGCATAGTAAGCATTTTAAATTTGTGATTACACTCGAATAACTACAAAAGTAAATACATAAAGCACTGCCATTTATATCACTATCAAATGTGTATGTGATTTTATATGCTGTACTGGTAGCACAGGTTTGTAACACCACAAACCCGTGAGTAATGTCCTGCACGACCATGGCTATGACCTCACAAGGTCACAGGAATTTTCAGCTCCATTCTACTTGCATGAGATCATATTGTACATGTGGTCATCACTGACCAAAATGTTGTTTACGTACTGAATGGCTATACATCAAACACTCTTCTAGACGTCTGAGGGGCCAGGAAGGATCAGAGTGAATAAAACGAAGCCCCTGATCTCAAGGAGCTTGTACTACAGTGATGAACACGGATGGGAAAGTGGCGTGCCACAGAAATATAAGGGGGTTCCAGAGGGGAGGTGATCTGGGAAAGAGAAGAGCTGAGTAAAGTGAGGGAATCGTGCGGAAATGTGAAGTGTGTTCCACACATAAGGAGAGAAGGTGCACGTGTCATACTGTGGGGGCATCCCTGATCTACCCAGAATAGCCAGGGTCCCTGTGGAAGTTTGCTCTGTTCAAATGGCTTCTGTCTTCTCAGCAAAATGCAAAGCAAACCTATCAGCTATTGATGAGGAAGGGGACCCTGGAGGTTTGAGAAAGATGTTATGAAAAATGTAACTATGATCCTGGAAGTTGAAGAATTGGGAATTTCTAGCTTGGCTAATACAAGTCCTGGAATAAACTACAGAAATGAGTTTTCCATGAACAGAAGAGGGCTGACCTCCATCGAGAGGATTTTTTTCCCTTTTTACTTTTTTGAGGCAAGGTCTTGCTCTGTTGTCCAGACAGGCCTGGAACGCACTGTAGAGCTGGCCTAGACGTACGCCAAGAGAGGATTGTAAAGTCAGTGTGGACCACCCTCTCACCTCAGATGGCCTCGCCAACGCAGTCTCTGAGATGAAAGGTATTACAGAAATGATAATGCCTTAACTGGTAATTAGCCTACGTCTTCTAAACAAAAGTGCAGGGGAGGGCTCTTCCCCTAGTAATTATGGAACTCAACAAGCCGATATGTAACTGTCAGGCAGGATGCTTCCCAATCAGCAAACACTACGTGGATAGAATTTCTCCTTGTGGAAGTCCTGAGACAAGAAGGGAAAGTGAGTACTTACTTACTTTTGGTCTGAACAGAGAAAGAGTATCTTCAGGGAGAATAACACTTCTTGATGGGTGTGGTGGTGCACACCTGTAATCCCAGCACTCAGGAGGCTGAGGCAGGAAGATTGCTAAGTTTGAGGCCAGCCTGAACTAGAGTAAGACCCTATCTCAAAAAAACAAGTAAGAGTAAATGAATATATTCCACTGTGTTTAGTCTCCGAAGTATCTTTTCAGCAAGTGAGGTATATTCCTTTTTTTTTTTTTTTTTTTTTTCTCTGCTACCAGAAAGGCTACAACAGA